GGTGGCGCAAGGGGTTAAGATGCAGCCTACGAAGCTATCCATAGCCACTGAAGCACAAGTTGGATCCCTGGCCAGGGAGCTAACCAACATGGTGCAGGTGACCTCTCCTGACTCACCTGCTGCTCCCCTCAGAAGTATATTTCAGTTGATCTCCCTGTCCTGTTCCCCACTCTGGTGAATTCTCTCACCGCCGCCCCCCTGCACCTCTGGCCTGTACCCCAGTTCTTCTATGCATAAATAAATCTTTTTAAAAAATTATTTTGGAAACACCGCTGTTGACATTTTAGTATATTTATGTGTATAGTTTTATTTATATATAGTATATATTCTATTCCATGTACATATGTGTGTTTGTATAAATATATGTACACAGATTCTAACTCTCGAGACACTTTCAAATGTATGTGAATGAATGTGTGTGTGTTTGTTTATAAAAAGGATTGTGTTGCCTATGAGCTGAGGCTTTCTGTAGATGAGGCTGGGACCTGCCATGCTTCACTGTCAGGACACCTAACCCCCTCTTTATGGAACTGGGTGGTGGACCTCTGTCCATGTCAGGGTGCTGTTGGACCAGCACCACTGGGGTGAGGAGCCAGCCTGACCTTGAGAAGAACCCCACTGGACTCGGCCAGGCCTCACCATTGGCATGACTGGAAGGGCCTCTCAGGCCATGGGAAGCCCCAGCAGAAGGGGGGCTGAAGCCTGTGGACAAGCCCAGCTTTGGAAGGCTGATGGAAAGATAAGGTCTCTCCTTGGATGGAGACAATCTTTGAGAACCTGTCTAGGGCTGGGTCTGTCCTGTCCCATGGCAGCTGGTTTGACTGCAGGGTCCAGCAGGCTACCTAAGCTGCTTACGTAGAGGGGCACATAGACTAGGCCATCAGGCATTCAGGAGCCCAGCTGCGGAAGGCTTCTTGCTCCTGGGTTTCTCTCCCATACTTCTACCCCCAACGGCCACTCGAAAAGGCTGTGTCCCAAGCTCCAAATCCAGGCACCAGCCTTGGCTCCTCACTCAATCTCCCGCTGGTGTCCATGCTGGTCCAGAGGCCGTCTGCATTGAAGAGGCAAGCCTGGAGAAGATAGAAGATATAGTGAACATGATGTAAAATTCCATCTTCAGTGTTGTATTACTTTTCTACAGCTGCTGTATGAAGCTGCCACTCACTGGGTGACTCAGAGCAATGGAAGTATATTGCCTCACAGTTCTGGGGGCTGGAAGGCCAAGATCAAGACGGTGGCAGCTCTCTGTTCCCTTTGAAGCCTCTAGAGAGGATCCTACTTCCCTGCCCCTTCCAATGCATGTGTGTATGTGTGTGTGTGTGTGTGTGTGTATTCCTGTTTCTTTGGCTTGTGGCCCCCCATTACTCTCTGCTCATCTTCACTCAGCTGTTTTCCCTCCAGTCTTCAAATGACCTTTGTGTGGCTATGTCCAATCCCCCTCCAATGAGGGCACTGGGCATGTGGATCTGGGCCCACATGAATAACCTCATCGTAACTTGGTATCTGCAAAGACCATATTTCTAAATAAGGTCATAGTCACTGGTACTGGGGGTTAGGGTTTCAACCCTTTTAAAAAAATTTTTTTAAAGATTTTATTTTTTATTTATACATACAAGAACTGGGGAGTAGGCCAGAGGTGAGGGGGTGGTGAGAGGATTCACCAGAGAGAGTGGGGAGCAGAAGAGGCAGACTGACTGGAATACAGGCTGAGGGGAGCAGCGGGTGAGACAGGAGAGGTCTGCTGCGCCATGTGGGTTGCTCCCTGGCTGGCCAGGGATTGAACTCATGCTGCAGTAGCTGGGATAGCTTGATAGCAATGTGTCTTTAACTCCTGCACCACCGGGGAGGCCCTCAGCCCATCTTTTGAGGGGCTACAGTACAACCCATAACAAGTATTCATAAATAAAATGTAATGAATGGGATCATCCATTCTGACTCGGTTTTTTCTTTGTGGCTATGACAGAGACTGTATGAAAAGTTGATGTATTTACCATCTGGCCCTTTGTAGAAAAGGTTTGCCATTCCCTGCCTCAAAGGATCAGGAGGAGAAAATGAGGGGTACCACGGACTCACAGGACAGCAAGTCTAACCAGGGTGAAGGTCAGGGGTGCTTCTAGGGAATGTCTCCACCAGGCATTTCACGAGCTAGAGTTAAAACACAAAGCACCTTGCGTTGAAACACCTTCAGAAACAGCCCCTAGATTTTCTCCTTGCTGGAGAGGAGAGGGTAGGAGGACTTTTGCACCAGGGGCACGGGGCAGATCTGAAAGGGTACACCTGGGAAGGAGCCCAGGCCGTCTCCCTGCCCCTGACCTTGGTGGGCCTCACTGGAGAGAAAGCCCAAGTCAGACTTTCTCAGGACCAGTAGAGGGAGGCCCAGCGGGTGCTGTTTATTTGCCGCTTCCCTCACAGATCCCGTTCTCCTCCCACTGCCAGATGAGACTCGTTTTTGAGCCTGAAGTTCAATTCCAGACTTAGGCCTTTTGCAGCTGGAAACGTTTGGGAAAGCCCTGGTCACGCCTCCCGCCTGGCAGAGATGGGAGCGGGAGAGCAGTCCCTTTTTGGTGGCGGCTGGGCTGAGTGGTAAGAAGGCCGTGGGAGACACAGAGATTCCCTAAGGGGCTCATATTCTGAGGGGGCTGGTGAACAGACTGTTCAGGGCCTGGAGGGACCAAAACACAACTTCATGGTGACCCTGTTAGGTAGGGCAGGAGGAGTGAGCCCCGCTTGACCCCTGAGAACTGCAGCTCAGAAGATGTACCTTGATTTGCCCAAGGCTGGCAGCTAGGTGGGCACCTCAACCTCCTGCCCCCTGGGCCTCCCTGCTGTCTTCACCTGCTTTCTCTTGTCTAACCTTCCTCCTCTTTTGATTGGTAAGACAACATAGCAACACAAAAGGAAACTTTTTTTTTTTTTTTTTTTTGGTGGGACCCTCGCCAGTGGCCGGGGATCGAACTGGTGCTGCAGAGGTTGCGGGCAGCCTCTCAACCCAGCACTCAACCGCTGCGCCACCAGGGGAGGCCCTAAAGAGAAACATTTAAAAGAAAATCTCTCAGGGCCTCCCTGGTGGCGCTAGAGGTTAAGCACAGCATTATGAAGCTATCCTCAGCCTCTGCAGCACGAGTTCCATCCCTGGCCAGGGAGGTGACCCACATGGCACAGCAGACCTCTCCTGACTCGCCCGCTGCTCCCCTCAGCAGTGTACTTTGGTCAATCTGCCTGTTCTGTTCCCCACTTTGTCTCTGGTGAATCCTCTCACCCCCCATACCTCTGGCCTCTACCCCGGTTGTTATATGCATAAATAAATAAATCTTCAAAAAAAAATCTCTCAAATCCCACCACTTTAAAACATTTCTATATATGCACATGTTCTTTAAAGAGCAATTCTGATAAAATTATATAGAAACACACTCATGAGTTTAATAAAACTGGTTTTGCAAAATGAAACCATTGAGGGAAACTACAGGTGCTTTATTTCCTACAACTGCAGGCCAATCTGTAGGCCAAATAAAAACACTTTCTCAAGGAGCCATGCGCACATACCATTTCATGTTAATTATTTTTCTTTTCTTTTTAAAAGATTTATTTATTTATGCATACAAGAACTGGGGTACAGGCCAGAGGTGGCGGGAGTAAGAAGATTCACCAGAGAGAGAGCGGGGAGCAGAACAGGCAGATTTACTGAAATACACTGCTGAGGGGAGCAGTGGGCGAGACAGGAGAGGTCTGCTGCGCCATGTGGGTAGCTCCCTGGCCGGCCAGGGATCGAACTTGTGCTGCAGAGGCTTGGGATAGCTTCACAGTGCTGTGCTCAATCCCTTATGCCACCAGGGAGCCCCTAAACTATTTTTCATTGAAATAGCATTGTGAACATCTCCCAGTCTGGGCACTAGAGGCCTAAGGGCTCTTCGCATGCCAAGCGTGAGGTGGGAAATCCTGTACCAGGTTCTCCTTTGCTGGGCTCTGGCTGCTGTCAGGACGGCCTTGTGAACACGGGGACACAGCACTTACATTGTTCAGCTACATTTCATTAGGATCAATGGGGGGTGGGGAGGGCTGCTGGGCCTAAGGATTTGCAGTTTTACAGCTATATTATGTGTCATTAATATATCTTTTTTATTGCCTTTTCTAAGGTAAGGATTGGCTTTTTCCCAGGTGAGTGAAAATTGGGCATTCAGATTTTTTTTAAAGATTTATTTATGCATACAGGAACTGGGGTGTAGGCCAGAGGTGCGGGGTCTCCCCAGCCACGTGGGTCAGCTCCCAGGCCTGACCAAACTCACACTCCTGCCCCAGTGGCTGGGGGTAGCTAGACTTTAACCCTTGCGCCACCAGGGAGCCCTGGGCATTCAGATTTGTAGGAGAAAAAAAAAAACAAGGGAACCTCCAGGGGCTTCTACTCCACAGTGTCACCCGGCCAGGAAGCCCAGAAGGCCGAGGCAAGGGCGGGCGCAGCTGGAGGAGCCCCAGGGGTCGGCCACGCGGGGCCTCCGGGGCTGCGCGCCCACACCTTCTCCCGGGGTGGAGCGGCCGGCCGCAGAGAGGCGAGGCGGGGCGCGGGACTTTCCTGAAAACAAAGCAGCGTTGGCTCAGTCTTGGGGCGCTCCTTTCAGAGGGGAGGAAGCCGATTCCAGAACACACTGGACTATGTTAAAAGGCGCTTGAGCAACCGGGGCGGCCCGTCCCTCGGGCGCCCTGGGGAGGGCTCTGGGTGACAGGGCCCCACCTCGGGAGGCGCAGCCAGGCGCGCCCGCGGGCAGCTCTTCCAGAGCTTTCTGCGCTGCTGGGTTTCCCTGTGCTGGGGCGCGGGGGAGGCCTGAGGCCGGCGGGGCGGGGCGGCAGGGCCGGCTGGCGACGCCTCTGCGACTTGTGGGCCTGCGGGGTGCAGGGCCCGGCCTCCCCCTCTGGTTTCTTTTCTTTTATTCTGAACCTCAGTTCTACTGTATACTTAAAAGGTTACGCGTTGCACATTTTTATTCTAAGTATTTTATTGTCTTGTTTTCATTGAATCATTTAATTTTTAAATTATACTTAACCTTTTCTCTTTTTTTTTGCAGTTTTTGCAGTTAAGGTCAGCAGAGGAAATTCAGGACTGGCCAGTTAAACCTGAATTTCAAACAAGCAGCGGATAAATTATTAGCCGGAGTAGATCCTCTTTAGCATGTTCTATTGAGTATAAATTTATCCCCCGTGTTCTGCCCGGTGGTTTTATTTCAATCTAGTCACCCGCTTTGCAGTTGAAAGCCTCCTCTGGGGGGTAGCTGACTCAGAACCCCGACATCTAACAAAAAGGTACGTGGGAGCTGCTGGGGGGCTGTCCCAGGGCAGGCGGCAGCGGCCCCTCGCACCGGCAGGGGCCCCCATGTTGCATTTTCCCGACCATGACGGGCCCACGGCCCCTAACCCGCCCCCAGGCTGGGTCTGGTGAGCTACAGGCCCCTGCGCGGGAGGGGCTGGGCGGGGCTGCAGGAGATGCGTGATGGCGAGCTCAGATGCTGGGCGACCGGCAGACTTTCACTCCTTGGCCTCACAGGCAGCCGCAGGCGCCATGCTCAACAGCCAGTCCCCTGAGTTCTGACCTCTGTGAATGGCTGTGTGATCACCTCAGGTGCAGACGGCTCTCTCTTCAGGTCAGCAGACGCTGCGCACCTACGCCCTGGGGTATGCCGGGCACCGGGCAGAGGTGAGCTCCCTCAGGTGCAACTGCAACCCCTATGAGAGGCGTCTGGGTTGTGGAGGGAGGGAGCATCCCAACACCCGCCTGCAGGCCCAGCGGGTGCGGCTTTAACTCTCTAGAGCTTTGCCTCCAGTCCTCCCGCCCAGGCACTCGGGCCCACCCTGGGAAGCTCCTGCAGCCTGAACACCCTTCTCTCTTTCTTATCTGGCAGAAGTACGTTCCCCTTCATGCTTCAAGGCCCACCCCAGATGTCACCTCCTCTGGGAAGCCATCCTGACCTCCCTGGTGGTTCTGGAACACATCTGTGTCTTCCTGCTCAGTAGGTCTGGGGCCTGCAGGTGCTGAGGGCTGGGGTAGGGCTGGGGGGTGGGCGGAGCAGCAGGGGAGGCCAGAGGATGACTTTCTGTGAGCAGTGAGGGCAAAGGCAGGGCAAAGGGTGTGGGAGCTGGACTCAGGGAGGCAGGGAGGGAGTCTGAGCAGCCTGCCTGGAGCCCCACATCTGCCCAGCCAGGAGATGGCACCACGCTGGCCCCTGATGAGGGGGCTGTGAGCGATGGAGGAGGGAGGTGACGCAAGAGTGGGGAATGGGGCACTTCTGGATCTGGGGTCGGTGCTGTCCATGCAAATACTTGTGCAGCAGGTGCCTCCTGGGCAGGCCCCCACCTGGAGCTGAGGCCTGTCCCTGAGAGGGTGTGTGGTAGTGGGTACAGAACCCTGCTGTCACCCCACTGTCATCCCGAGGCCCTCCTCTGCTGTGCGCCTGTCTTTGCAGCAGCCCATGGCAAGTGTCCAACTGCCAGGTCCTAAGCACCTAGAGCCAGTGCTGGGGTCCCCGCTTAGGCCTGCCACCGGGGGTCCCTGGGGTTTATGCCCAGCAGCGAACAAAACAGACATGGTGTGTTGTCTGTCTTTTTTTTTTTTTAAGATTTATTTATTTATTTATTTATTTATTATTATTTTTTTTTTTTAAAGATTTATTCATTTGCTTATTTATTTATTTATTTATTTATACAAGCACTGGGTACAGTCAGAAGCGCGGAGGGTGAGAGAATTCACCAGAGCCAGACGGGGAGCAGAGCAGGCAGAAGGACCGAAGTACACTGCTGAGGGGAGCAGCGGGCGGCAGGAGAGGTCTGCGCGCCATGCGGGACCCTCCTCCGGTGGCCGGGGAGCAGCCAGGGATCGAACCGGAGCTGCAGAGGCTGCGGGCAGCTTCACAACCCAGCGCTCAACCGCTGCGCCACCGGGGAGGCCCGATTTATTTATTTATTTATTTATGCAAGCACTGGGTACAGTCAGAAGCACGGGAGGGTGAGAGAATTCACCAGAGCCAGAGCAGGGAGCAGAGCAGGCAGAAGGACCAAAGCACACTGCTGAGGGGAGCAGCGGGCGGCAGGAGAGGTCTGCGCGCCCTGTGGGACCCTCCTCCGGTGGCCGGGGAGCAGCCGGGGATCGAACCGGCGCTGCAGAGGCCGCGGGCAGCTTCGCAACCCAGCGCTCAACCGCTGCACCACTGGGGAGGCCCATGTCTGTCTTTATGGAACTTGTGTGTAGGACACAAAGGGGGGTTTGAGGATTGACTCCAGGAGCCCCCAATTCTCACCTCCTTCCTGTCAGTGTTGCCCTTTAAGTAAATCCCGCATTCACGCATGTCTTTTCAGCCACCACCACCCAGCCCCCGTCATGTGTGTGATGCCCACTGTGCACCAGCCACGGCAGCCCCTGTGTTCAATTCACGCTGCAGCAGCCTCAGCACTTAAAGCCGCATCTGTGGCAGCGACGCATTCTGATACCAGTACCAAAGAAATCCAGGCTCCTGGCGAAAAGTCAAGTAAAGGAGGCTAGAAAGTGAAAAGTCAAAGATGGACCCCTCCTCCCCATCCCCAACCTCCAGGCCTTCTTCCAGATTTCTTCTACATCCTTCCAACCCTTTTCAAAGTATGTGTTTTCCTGCCTGCCAGTAATTGCACATAAATGTATAGTTATACATATGGAAATTATGTAACCTTAAAACCCCAACAATTTAGACCTCCACACCTTGCATTGTTGCTTCCAAGTGTAGGCTGGGGATCTTTTCATATCTTCACAGGCCAGCATCCTGCCCTGTTGTTCCCAGCCTGCTGCTCTTATAAATAATGCTGCAGGGAAATCAATTCCTAGAAGTGGAATTGCTGGCTTAATGGGGACGTGCAATTAAAGTGTCAATCTCTGTCACCCAGTTATCTCTCATTCAGGCTGTGCCGCTTTCCACAGTCTGTTTCTCTTCCCCCTTCCCACCACTGGCCCATACCTTTGTCAACCTGACAGGTGGAAAACTGTAACTTCTTTTCATCTGTATTTTAAAATGTAAGAGGCCAAGCTGTGCACCCCCACCCGGATCTCTCCTCTGCTCTGTGTCTTCTGGCCTGTTCTTTCTACTGCATCCTTGATCTTCAGTTGAGTGAGTTCTAAGCGTTCTTTGTAGTTAAGGAAATTAACACAATGTCTCCCATATGACTGGACATTTTGCCTTTTGACTATGTATTTTTGCCATGAGGGACTTTTATCCTTTTTTTTTTTTTTTAAAGATTTACTTATTCATGCATACAAGAGCTGGGGTACAGGCCAGAGGTGTGGGGGGTGAGGATTCACCAGAGACAGAGCAGGGAACAGAACAGGCAGACTTATCGAAGCACACTGCTGAGGGGAGCAGCGGGCGCGTCAGGAGAGGTCTGCTGCGCCGCATGGGTTTCTCCCTGGCCGGCCGGGGATCGAACTTGTGCTGCAGAGGCTGCGGATTGCTTCATAGTGCGGTGCTTAATCCCTTGCGCCACCAGGGAGGCCCCTGTGGTCAGGAGCTTTTATTACAATTGTGGCAAATATATTGGTAAGTTTAAGCAAACTTCACATTTTTACAATACTGTCTTGCTCAAGACAAAAATATGTTTTTCCAAATTCAAATCCTCTCTTCTGTCCCTCAGGAAAGTTTACAGCTTTTCTTAGGATGTGGGTTACTTATTTCTCCATTAGTGACACTCTAAATAGTTGGATCTTTCTGTTACTTTTATAAATGGACTCTCTTCTCTGAGTACGTTTTCTAAGTGGTTATGTTTGTTACAGGGCACCTTTCTCAGAGGCCAGACCTGCCCAAAAACATTGTTCAAAACCCTACACTGGGGCCTCCCTGGTGGTTCGGCGTGAGGTCTCAGCATTATGAAGCTATCCATAGCCACTGCCAGCCAGGGAGCTACCCACATGGCACAGCAGACCTCTCCTGTCTCACCCGCTGCTCCCCTCAGCAGCGCATTTCAGGCGATCCACCTGTTCTGCTCCCCACTCTGTCTCTGGCGCATCCTCACCCCCGCGACTCTGGCCTACACCCCAGTTCTTATATGCATAAAAAAATAAATATTTAAACAAAACCCCCAAAACCCTGCAGTGGGTTCCTATTGCCTGGAGGACAAAATCCCCTGGCCCTGCCCCTACCCTTCCTTGTCCCCTGCCTCTGGGCTCAGGGCGCCATCCCTGCCCCCCACTGCTGGGCCCTGTTTGACTGCTACTGAGTTCTGAGGTTAAAAGAGGTTTCCCTGGGGCAGTGAACCCCTCAGATTAAGTCAGACGGGGGGGGGGGTCAGCTATTTTGCCCTTTCATGTATAACAATGAAATTGATGTTATTTTTTGATGATGTGTCTCATGCCCCCTTCTCACAAGTGGGCACAGTGCTCTGCCCACCGCTGTCCCTCAGCCCCTAGAAGGATGCCTGGCAGGTGGGAGTTGTGGAGTCAAAGCACGCCTCCAGCCCAGGACCGTTCAAGCCCGGTGGGGGCATGTGGAGGCTCTCTCGCAGCTTCCCCTCACTCTTGCAAAGACAGGGACTAAACGCTTGTTCCCTGCCTTGTTCTGATTTGAAGAAGCTACTCAGCTGAGGACTTTCACCTGAGGGGCTGGCATCAGCAGTAGTTCTTACAAAGAGTATGTGGCAACACCAGTTACAATAACCTGAAGACATCGGGTGAAAAAGGCAGTGTGGTGATAGCCAGAACAGCAGCACAGAAACAGTGACTTTTCCTTGTTCTGCTCACAGCCTGGGCCCAGGGCCTGGGATGTGCAGGGTGTGCTCGATGCTGGCTGAATGCCGGAACTTGGTATGAAACAGTCCAAAGATTGGAAGCTGGAATAGCATCCAGGCTATTAAGGTGATGAGAGCACATTGAATTATTAAAGCTTTGCCACCACGGCGCTGCACTAGGTGGCCACCAGAGGGCAGAGCTGCCCTACGGTCGGGATTGCAAGCGCCAGAGCAGGTTTTAACAATGTGAACCAGTTAGGGAAACACGTGGGGAGAAGATCAACTACTCACAGAAGGTACAACCAGCGGCCCCCAAGGTGCTCCCTGACCTGAACACTAGCTACCTCTCTGCCTCCCCTCCTACCTCTCTCCCCCTGCTAACTGTAGAGTCCAGCCGCACAGGTCTCATTTCCCAACCATGGGACCTCTCCTGCCACAGGGGCGTTTGTAGGGTAAGGAAAAATGTCAGGCTTTTCTGCCCTCCCGCCCTCAGGACAGATGGTGGATCCTTGCGGTCCTGAATGCATGCCTGATGGCGGGCGCCTGGAGTAGGGTGTGGGCAGAGGTAGATGGGATTCACCTGGGCTGAGACTGGGCTTTTAAGGGCAGCATCACAGGGATGCCAGCAGAAGCCGAGAGAGAAGCTGAGAGAGAAGCAAGAGAAGCAGAAGCTGAGAGAAGGCCCAAGAGCCCAGAGTGAAGACCTGCTGGGGGCTGGGAGGCCTGCCAGCCTCCCGGCACCCCCAGCACCCCTGCCTGCTGTGTACCTGGTAATCTAAATAAAAAACCTGCCAAAGCCACTGAGGACTCTGACTCCTCCTTTACCCGGTCTTCGGGATCATAGAACGCTTGCTCAGTGGCCTGTTCTGCCTCTACGGCTTTGCGTTTATTCTTTGCTTTATATGCTCTTCTCCCAGCTGTGGCTGCTTTTGCTTCCCCCCTTTCTTCTTCTTCTTCTTCTTCTTCTTTTCAAAGATTTATTTATGCATACAAGAGCTGGGGTACAGGCCAGAGATGCTGGGGGTGGGAGGATCCACCAGAGACAGAGTGGGTTGCAGAACAGGCAGACAACTGAAATACACTGCTGAGGGGAGCAGCGGACAAGACAGGAGAGGTCTGCCGTGCCATGTGGGCCTCTCCCTTGCCGACCAGTGATGGAACTCATGCTGCAGAGGCTGAGGGTTGCTTCACAGTGTGGTGCTTCACCCCTTGCGCCACCAGGGAGGCCCCCCATTTCTCTTCTTAAATATCACTTAGCTGCCCTCTGGTTCATCTATGTAAAATTGTAATGCCCTCCCCAGTCCATCCTTCTCGCCTGCATTTTTTTTTCGTAGCACTTGCCACTCTAACATAGGGTGGATTTCACTTGTGGTGTCCCCTTCCTAAATGTAAACTCCGTTTTTTGGCTGTTTTGCTTTCTTCTGTATCTTTGGTGCCTAGGACGAGGCCTGGTCGTGTTAGTGTGTGTGGAATGAATAAATGAATGAATAAAAAGCAATGTTTCCACTTTGTCCTTTTTCAACATCTAGCCCTCTGCTTAGAGGCAACTTTCACTTCCCTTTTTTTTCCTGGTAGTTAACTCAGTTTCTCTAATAACACTCTATTGCTGCTGTGTTTGATGTATCCATTTTAAACAGTTATTGATTTCCTCTGACCCTACTCCTTTCCAAGATCTCTAAACTGATACTTCACATTTAGTTAAATCATTGGAACAATGTAAATATTACTCACTGCAATGACAAATTAGTGCCCTGATTATATTTCCTTCCTTAAACAGCTTTTTGCTTTGCACAGAGCTTTAACTGCTTGCTTCATCTCTTGCAATGTTTATTATTATTATTGTTATTGTCATCATAATCCTGATCGTTTTCAAATGTTGCACCATACTGGAGCGCCTTACTGGAGCACTCCATGCTGGAGTGCTTTTTCTTCCATGTTCCTTATCACAATCTGCAATTATACATTTATCTGGGTGTTTATTTTCTTGAGTGTCTGTCTCACATTGAAACACAACCTTCAAAAACAAAGACTGCTTTGTTTACAGTGCATTCCCAGCACCTGGTCTTGCTCCATGTCTCACACCAGACAGCTCAATACACACCAATGGGTAAGGTGAGCCGGCAAAATTGGGAACATACACTGCCATCAGTAGCTGGTGAGTTGGCTAAGTTGTACAAGATCTCTATAACAGAATAGCATTCCGCATTTAGAAACAACAAGTTATAAAGGCCGCATATGTGTTCATAGCCGGGCTTTTTTGAGGAGATGCCTTTGCCTGGTTCTGTTTGTCTCTGATAGATCTGTTGGGGATGCTCGCCATTGTTTTGAGCTATAAAGGCTAAATACTCTCCCACATCAACCCAAATGCCCCAAAATAGATGACTGGATCAAGATGTGGTACATATACATCATGGAATATTACTCAGCAATCAAAAAAGATAAACACATGCAATTTTCAGCAACATGGATGGCGCTGGAAGGGATCATGCTCAGCGAAATAAGCCAGAAAGAAAAAGAAAAATACCGGATGGTCTCACTCATAGCAGGAATCTAGAAAACCTAAATATGAGATCAGGAAAAAGACTAATCAATACAAAGTAAAAAATGAAAATCAACAAACAACTATAAACCAGAGACACACTACGGGGGGGGGGAAGGAGGGAGGGGCGGGGAAAGGAAGGACTAGAGTCAAAATAAGGGGGGTGCAATTGTATGGGGAATATAACCAAAATGAAAATGCATACATTGTGCAAAGATGAAAAAAGATGTAAGAATTATATAACATGAAATATTTAAATTAAAAATAAATAAATACTCTTCCACATCATTGTTTTGGCTCTTTAAAAGAGGTAACATTGGTAACGTTGGTTTATAACATTCAGGTGTTGTAGGGTAAAGAAAATATCAGGCTTTTCTGCCCTTCCGCCATCAGGATAGATGATGGATCCTTGTCCTGAATGCATGCCTGATGGCGGGCACCTGGAGTAGGGTGTGGGCATAGGTAGATGGGATTCAGCTGAGCTAAGACTGTGTTTTTAAGGGCGGCGTCACGGGGGGACGCCAGCAGCACCAGCACCAGCAGCCGCCGCAGCCGAAGCCGAGAAGCAGCAGAACGAACGCTAGAGAGCCCAGATAGAGTGAGGACTTGCTGGGGGCTGGGAGGCCTGCCAGCCTCCCAGCCCCCCAGCCAGCACCCCTGCCTGCCATATGCCTGGTGAACCCCAAATAAAAAACCTGCAAAACTACTGAGGACTCTGACTCCTCCTTTACCCGGTCTGCATGGGATCAGAAAACCTGCACTGTATCCAGTCCTGCCCTTACAATTGGCGTATGTCGGCAAGATCCATGCAGACGGGTATTGGAGCCCTCCGAAGACCTGGAGGGACTAAGGAGTAAAAGACTGACTGTGACGACGCTGGAGGCGCCATGGCGGTACAGAAGATGGATACGTCCACGAGCTACAGGACAAGACCTGGCGTGGGGAGACGCCCG